GAGGTTCTACTCCATAGAGAGAGAGAAGAAAACAGTAATCGGAGTAGTCATACTCATAAAGATGAGGAAAATCTGCTCCGGGATGATGATTTCCACTCCTAGGACGATCTCCAAGCTTGATTTGATGAAACTCAGCTCCAAGATGGCTTATAGGGTGAGTTCTTCGTCCTTTCTCTCTCTAGGGCTCTGTTTTTGCTCAAGAAATTCGATCCCCTTTCCTTGGCTCGATTCTGGCTTCAAAAACCCGACTCTGGGCGAAATACGGGCAGAATTACGGTCGTAATCACGGCCTGCCCGTAATTCGCCCAAAACGCGCGTTTAACTTTACTCTGCTGGAAAAGGAGCCACGCCCGTAATTTCCAATTACCGCCAGTATTTCACTAATTACGGTCGTAATTTGGTGGATGCTTGCCCGTAATTCTATTGCCGAGAAGAATTCTTGGGAAAGTGGCTCGGCATTTGTTTTACGGGCATGCCCTGACCAATTACGGTCGTAATTTGGCAGGGGCTGCCCGTAATTTGGCCTGTGAATCACCATCTGACCTCCAAATGACCCGAAACTTGCACCTATGCACCTCTTTACCTGCTAGGACCTGAAATACGACAAAACAACACAACCTAGCGTAAAATAGGCCAAGGAACCATCAATTCAAGCTAAAATGGACAGGAAACCAGAGTGAAAACACGTGCAAATACGATGCTATCAACATTCAATTACTCCGAATCGACCTTCCACTTCTATGGCAGGTACACATGTTCTGTTAACAAGAATGATTGGAACTGAACATATTTGGATTGGTTTGGTCCGAGTAAGTAGAGGGCTCTACCTTTTTTATCAATCCCAGACATCAAGACTTTTCACAAACTCTCCGCAAGTTTTTAACCTTTGGCACAGTAGACTTGGACATCCTTCACCCCCCAAGCTACAAGAAATACAAAAAGAGCACAAAGAAGTAGATACCAGTATAGTTACACACTATAAAGTCTGCCACTTAGGAGCAATTCCATTAGTAAAGAACTCTTTGATATGATACATGTTGACATTTGGGGTCCTGTTGATACCCCTTCTCTTGATGGTTTTATTTACTTTCTCACAATTTTTGATGACTATAGTAGATCTGTTTGGATTTATCTTATGAGATCTAAATGAGAAGCAGGGACTATTCTTCAGTCTTTTCATGCTCTTGTTGTAACACAGTTCAACAAGCATATCAAAATTGTGAGGTCTGATCAAGGACAGGATTTCCATTTGAAAGATGGAATTATCCACGAAATGAGTTGTGTAGGAACAGCTCAACAGAATGGACGAGTGGAAAGGAAGCATCAACATTTGTTGAATGGATATAGGGCTTTAAGATTTGAATCTGGCTTTCCTATCAACTTCTGGAGCTTCTTTGTTCTCCATGCTGCTTTTCTGATCAATAGACTTCCTTCCCCCATCCTTTCAAACAAAACACCTTTTGAAGTCCTTTATGGTGTACCACCTGATTATTCAAAACTCAAGGTTTTTGGTTGCTTAGCATATGCAACCTCAGTGTTGCCATACAAACCCAAACTAGCAGCTAGATCAAACAGATGCATCTTTGTTGGGTATGAATTTGGAGTTAAAGGCTACATATTATATGATCAAAACACCAATGAAGTATTTACTTCTAGAGATGTAGTGTAACATGAGAAAGTTTTTCCCTGCAAAAATGCCATTCGTGACAGCAGCACTCCAACAACCTCAAGTCCAAATGATCACATCTTTTCGGATTCTACAACTATCCAAGACTCCCCAGCTCTAATTCCCTTTCACCTCGAACCTAAGGATCCTGACTACAGTCCTCATTCTCCTACTAGTTCATCTTCTGATGACTCTTCTTCTACTTCTCATGCAGAGCAACCTTTGCCTGCAGATCCACCTTCACCTATTCCTTTTCCCTCTCCAACATCTCTGAATTCCCCTGCTCCTTCACTTTATCAATCACAGGCTGTTTCACCAATGCATATTGCTCTTCGAAAATCTGATAGAGTACACAAACAGCCTGCCTATCTCCAAATGTATCATCTAGGCTTGGCTACCAAGACTCCCATTTCCTTACCAAGTATTCCTTACACCATCTCCAACTATCTTTATTATCAGTATCTCCCTTCTAACTTCTGGAGTTTCTTCTTAAACATATCCTCTTGTATGGATCCTGAAACCTATGAAGAGGCAATGAAAGAAGGTTACTGGGAGGTTGCAGTCAATGATGAACTTGAAGCCCTGGATCAGAACCAGACATGGATCATTGTTGATAAGCCTGATGGTAAAACCTCCATTGGTTGTCGATGGATTTTTTTAAAAAAAATTTCATCTTTATGGAACCATTGACAAATACAAAGCCAGACTTGTGGCTAAAGGGTATACTCAGGTTCCAGGAATTGATTTTCAAGATACATTCTCTCCTGTTGCAAAATTGAATTCTGTCAAATTGATGCTGGGAGTTGCAGCTTCCAGGAGGTGGATATTGCATCAGATGGATGTGAGTAATTCATTTTTGCATGGGGATTTAGATGAAGAAGTTTATATGGTGTTACCACCTGGATTACGTGTGAAACCTGAATTCAAAGGGAAGGTTTGCAAGCTGCAGAAGTCATTATATGGTCTGAAGCAAGCAAGCAGACAATGGTTCATCAAGTTAGATACTTTGTTAGTCTAATCACGCTTCACACAGTGCCATGATGACATAATCATTGCTGGTAACAACATGGAACTGATCACTAAGCTAAAGAAACATTTGAAGCAAGCCTTTAAGATCAAGGACATGGGAGAGTTGAAATACTTCCTTGCATTGGAAATTGCTCGATCAAGTTCAGGTATCATGGTTTCTCAAAAGAAGTTTTGTCTAGAATTATTTGCTAACTCTCAGTTCTTGGATTGCAAACCTGCTAAAACTCCTTTGAGTAAAAAGGTGGTGTATTCAGCAAATGATGGCGAACCCTTAGCAGATGGAAGTGGTTTTAGGCAACTGTTGGGGGAATTATAGTATCTGACTACAGCTCGACCAAATATTTGCTTTCCTATTCAACAGTTGTCACAGTTCCAGGCACAGCCTACCATTGCATATTTAAAGGGCTTGCAGAGAATTCTCAGATATCTCAAGGGAAATCCAGGACAGGGTTTGTTCTTTTCATCATCCATCACATTACAAATTCCTGGTTATTCGGATTCAGACTGGGCTACATGCCCTGATACAAGATCAGTCACTGGATACTGCACCTTTCTTGGATCTTCATTGATTACCTGAAAAAACAAGAAGTAGACGACAGTATCCAGATCTTCCTCTGAGGCAGAATACAGAGCTTTGGCACAATTGTGCTGTGAAGTTCAATGGCTCAAGGTAATGCTTGAGTTCTTCTTTTGTGATCATCCAGACCCTATAACATTGTATTGTGACAATCAATCTGCCATACATATTGTGGAAAATCCAGCTTTTCTTGAGCGAACAAAGCATATTGAGGTGGATTGTCATGTCACAAGGGAGAGATTGAACTCTGGACTGATCATACTGAAGAATGTAAGAACGGATGTGCAATTGGCAGACCTGTTCACTAAAGGTCTTGCATTTGCAAGATTCCAATTCTTACTTAACAAGGTTGCAGTACACAATGTGTACTTGCCATCTTGAGGGGGTGTGTGAAGATCATCCCATGATCCTACTATTGATTGTTGGAGAAGAAGGATCATTCTCTGATGCAACTAAAGGACTGCTGCACTTGCAGATGAAGATCATTGAAGAACGAGAAGAACTGAAGTGCAATGGTTTGGAAGTTGTGGTGTCCTTTTGTATATATACACTTGTATAGCTTCACTTATACGTTGTCGTTTTCTTTAAGTTGATTCGTTATTGTTTATAAGTGGTCTTAGCCACCTGTCGACTTGTGATTGGTGGTTTTGTATAAAGGTTAGCAAGTAACCGTTGTATATAAATGAAAGATCACTCAATCCAGAGCTGGCATTGAGCCTCCTATTCCAATAACCCTATTCAATCTTATCTTCATCATCATCCTCTCTTCGTCTTCTTCCTTGAAACCCTAATTCCATACAAGAATTTCACAATTTCTATGCAAAGGCTTCCGAGCGAGGAAAGAAGAATACAATCCGCAAGCTGAAAGATGATGCGAGTGAATTGTCAGGGGACAAGAAGAAGTCATTGGGTGCCTCACTACCTAATATGCATAATTATTTGAAAGTAAGATTGGAGACACGATGGAAAGTCATTGAAGCAGTGGAAAAGAAAGTAACAAATGATATTAATCAAAAGCTGCTCCAGCCATTCACAACAGAAGAAATCAAAAGTGCCCATTTCCAGCGGGGCGCCATCAAAGCTACTGGGATAATGGGTTTCCAGCCATGTTCTTTCAAAAGAATTGGAACACCCTCTCTCCTCGTATTACTGCAAAATTAATGAGCTACCTTCACAATGGCAGCTTTCCAGAAAGCCTCAACAAAACTTTTATTGCGTTGGTTCCTGCTTCTCTTAAAGATTACAGGCAGATTAGCATGCATTGTTCTATACAAGATTCTATAAAAACGATTGCAAATCGTTTAAAATGAAATTTTGGATGATCTAATATGTGATTCGTAGAGGGATTTTGTCCCGGGAAGGTCGATAATTAACAACGTTATTGCACTAGATTGCTACTAGGCAATAGCACCAAATTAGTCTCTGGATTAATAATTTATGTCTAAATTTGTTGCATTGCCTTATAACTTCCATCTTCATGATTGGTCAGTTGTCAGATAGAATGGATTTAGCATTAGAGGTATTGGGTTTTGGACAATCATGGGAGTCGGAAGGGAGCCTACGGCTGTTGAGAATTGGGAAATAGATAGACGTGGGACGGTGGGAGCAGTGGCGTAGCCAGACTTTGGATGAACTGGGGTCCTTAGAAAATATTATTAATGCAAAATTAAAAAAAAAAATAGAACACATAATTTTGACATTTTACTAATACGATACACTTGTTTGTTTCTACAATGAACCACGACGTGATTTCATATTCTGAAAACACTGTACAACACATTCAGGGTCTATACTACTAAGTACATCCTTTTCTATATAGCCTACCAAGCAATCATTAAGCCAATCATCACTTATTCGGTTCCGAAACTTGTTTTTGATGTAGGTCATAGCTGAGAATGACCTCTCCACGCTTGCAGTAGCAACAGGCAAAATAAGTGTTAGTTTAATAAGCAAATAAACTAATGGATACTGGTTATGCTTAAATGTTTCCACCATCTTTATGGCCAACTCGTCCACTCCTTTCAAGTCTTTGAACCTCTCATCTCGCTGCACCTCCCCGATAAATGAATCCATTTGAAGTCTAAGAAAGTTGATGTCCCGGGAACTGAATTCCTTCGGATAGAAACTAGCAAGATGGATTACCTTCTCGAGATCAAAAGCAGCAAATGACTTGTAGGGACTTAAGCAAGCCATGCATGATAGAAGTTGAGAATTAGCCTCATTAAAGCGGCTGTTGAGCTCTTGCAATTGCATATCTATAACTGTGTAGAACACTTCAACTTGGAAGTAATGAAGATTTGATACTTGTTGACCCCTACGCCGAGACCTTCCAAGAGGAACATATTGATCATTCATGTCAGGAACTTCAATACCTTCTTGGACACAAAATGAAACCACAGAAGCAAGTAGAGAGTCCCATCGACTATCCCTCATTTGTTGCAATCTATACTTTGCTACACTAACCAGATGCACTGCATTAACAATATCTTGATCCTTTCTCTGCAATGCTAAAGATAGCTCATTGGTGATTGCTAGAACATGAATCATCAACTTCAACATAAATGCAAAGTCAAAAGTGTCAAGTTGATTCAACATGCGAATTGCTTCACCTTTTGCCTCACCATTTCCATCACGCTGAACATCATCCAAAGCAGCAATCACAGCAGAATACATGAATTCCAAATTAACAAGTGTCCCAAAATGAGATCCCCAACGAGTATCACAAGGTCGCTTGAGACTTGTTTCTTGATTCAACCCCCTCCCTGTCTCTAGTTCTCCATATGATAAAGCCCTTGCAACTTTGTTTAATTGAGCATTTCGAACGAACTCTAATCGTTTGCAAGATCCACCAACCAAAGTAATCAAGCTACTAACAGCACCAAAGAAGAGACTAATATCACCATGGTTTTTAGCAACCGCCACTAATGTTAACTGAAGCTGATGAGCAAAGCAATGCACATAATATGCAGAAGAATTCTCATCCAAAATCAAAGTTTTCAGCCCATTGAGTTGTCCACTCATATTACTAGCCCCATCATAACCCTGTCCTCTTAGCCTTGACAAACTCAACCCATGTTTTATAAGCAAAGACTCAACTTCATTCTTCAGTGTTAATGCTCTTGTATCTTTAACATGAGAGATACCTAGAAACCTCTCCACAACATATCCACCTCCATCAACATAGCGTATAACCACAGCCATTTGCTCCTTAATTGACACATCACGAGCCTCATCAACCAATATGGCAAAAAAACCATCTCCAAGATCTTTGAGAATTTCTTTAGTTATTTCCATAGCTAATGCACGAACAATATCTTTTTGAATATCAGGAGAAATGAGTTGTAGATTTCTTGGGGCATTTTCCAACACAACCCTTTGTATTATTTCTCTACCACGAGCATGAAATTCCAAAAGTTCAAGAAAATTACCTCTATTATCAGAGTCTTCTGACTCATCATGCCCACGAAGTGCCATTCCATTGCGTATGAGAAATGTGACACAATCAATTGAAGCCTCCAGACGAATTCTATAATCGATCTTGCTCTGATCAGATTGTTTAGATAAAGCAGCTGCAATGCTTTGAGATTGTTTCATCAAGGCTTCACACTTCCTCACAGAATCATTGTGCACACTGTTCACAGCTCCCACATGAACATCCAATCTATCCTTCTTATTCCAACATGAAAATCCATTACCAATAAAAGATGAACCCCCACCTTTCTTAGGTACCTCATGTTTGAATAGATAACAAGGCAGACAATATGCTGCATCTCTTGCAATGCTGTATTCCAGCCAGTTTTTATGCGGATCAAACCAACTAGCAAGAAACCTTCTTTTCTTTTCACCAAAACGTTTACAGGGAAAAGAATGGCCAACAGGTTGACAAGGACCTTTTAGAATATAAGCTCTTCTTACTTCATCTTGGACATTAGAGTGGAAACTTGAGATTTTTGGTCTCAACCCAGGATCAGCTTCTAAATCATTCACATCAAATTCCACAATTTGATTCAGTAGGAAGGGCTCTCTTTGCTGTACTTGCACAGTTTGGTTGACCAATAAAGATTCTTGAGCTTGTGATTGGGTATTTGGATGGGAGATTGCTTCCACCTGTTTGCTTCCATCATATTCATGGCATTCATTTGAGGCAGTAATCTTTGGCTTTTTTGAGTAGTATCTTTCCATTTGATCTGATGATATTCAGTAAGTGAAGATGAATCAAACAAGAAAATTAGTTAATCTAATCAAGAAAAAGGGACTCGTAGCTTACTAATGGCTGCCAATGTAAGAACTACTCTAATAAGTAATAACTAGTCCTCAAACGAATCAACTCATCTCAACAAATAAATAATCTAATCCCTACTTGTCCCACTAATGTTTAATGTATTTATTATTTAAAAGGAGAAAAGAGCTCCTGCAACAGAAGCAAAAGCAGGGGTACCAATTAATCCCTTCCCTCTCGAACTATCCATGGGTCAAAGTGTCCCTCTGCTCTCCACCAATTTAATCCTAAACGAGGGCAAGCAACAAAGCGAATAGATAGAATTGCGGATTATACCTTAGTAAGAGAGATCTGTGTCAATTTTGGTAAATTTTCAATTTAGGGCTTTTGTATCCCAGCAAAGCACGAGCATAGTTCCCTTATTTGAGTAGCCAGTGAATCTCAAAGCTTTGGCGGTTGGGCGGCTGGTGTGATCTGGTGGCGAAGAAGAGCCGGAGAAGACAAGAATGGAACGGCGGGCAGGCGGCAAAGGTTCCTTGTTGGCGGTAGAACAAGAGAGGATTGAAATCGCAAAAGTGGGGAAAGTTGTGTTCTGTATTTTCTTTGGAGAACATGGAGAGAGATACTACTTTTCACATTGGGATTGGAAAACATAGATTATTATAACTAGTTTTAATATTAAGAAAATGCTTTACAATTATATAATAGTTACTGGTGGCAGGTGGAGAATATTCTAAGGTAAAAGCATTGGGGTCGGCAGGTGGAGAATATTCTAAGGTAAAAGCATTGGGGTCCTATATTTATAACCCCATTTGGAGAGACATATACAAGCGGTATTTGGCATCCATTTTTTGGCCAAGTGGGGTCCTGGGACCCCAGTCCCTGTGCTCTCGCTCCGCCACTGGGTGGGAGAAGAAGAAAGAAGGGTAAAATGAATTTAAAATGTAAAACTAGCAAGCTTATCTGTGGAAACAAAAAAACTCAACTGTGTAGGATTTCAAAATAGCTGATCTTCATAAGCTATTTTGAAATCTCACACTTGTGATTTTTGAAATCCGTCACGAGATAAATTCTTTAATTTATGACCCTTTTCCAAACGCGTTATTTTAATGAAATCCCATGAAATATGAGATCGTATTAAAATCCAGCATAAACAAATATCATCCAAGCCACAGCTTAGTCACCACAATTTTTTATTATTTGGATTGACTTCTAAGTAAATTTGGATGAAGAAGTCCGATTGGTACTTGTTAATACTAAATTTTTGTTCGGTTCGGATGACTACTAGGTGGAATTCGACTAGTTAATAAAATGCCACTCGGCAGCACTAACATTAATTGATTTCCACTGTCCACGACAAATATATGATCCTCAAGTATTTGGGGGATGAAAGCTAGAGGATCCGAAACCGTACATAAAATTCAGGCTATCAATCCATGCAAGTACATTAAACCTCTTCAGCAGATTTTTCTGTCCTTTTGTCCAGCCCATGCCTAATTTGGCAGCATGCTCTTTTTCGTATTCTTTATTTCTCGCCGTTCAGTTAAGGCAAGGACGAATGCAGGTGAGTATTGTTAGATATCATAAAGACTGTCCTACCAGCTCAGCCCTGAAATAGGGGAATGGATCAGGTCAGTAACCTTATGGTGAGTAACCATGAGTAACCCGTCCACATCAGTATAATATCAGCATCCTCTCTCTCATGGAAAGCCTTTAATTTTTCCCTCTTTAATCTTTGACGAACGATTTCTCGCTCATTTTAAGTCGAAATTTTTTTTTTTTGCACAGTTAGATCAGATTAATTGTGCTCTTCAAAATGATATCCACTTTATTATATTTTTCGAACAAAAAAAATTGAGCCATTTTTTACCAGCCTATACCATATGGTATTGACTGGTATTGAAATAAAAGCATACCTATGTTTTGAAAAACGTACCATGGTGGTATGAACAAACCAATACTGTAGGATGGTTGAATACATGATAGTAGAAGTATATTAATTGTAATTTATGACTTTTAACATTGTATACCACACAATACCACCCCGTACCAGGGTGGTATTGTATCGTATTGTGTGGTATTTTTTGGTCCTGTAATTTGTTCACCTAGAAATTTGTAGATCCAATAGATCATGATGAACTCGTCCCTTCTGTGCAAACGTTTTCAAAAACGAATTAAAAACGAAGAAGATACCATACAATACCACCCCGTACCAGGGTGGTATTGTATGGTATTGTGTGGTATTTTTTGGTCCTATAATTTGTTCATCCAGAAATTTGTAGATCCAGTAGATCATGATGAACTCATCCCTGCTGTGCAAACGTTTTCAAAAACGAATTAAAAACGAAGAATATACCATATGGTATGCAGTTGGTACCGAGAGGCCAGAATTTTTTTTCCTAAGAAAATATTGAAAATTGTTCTCATTTTGTAGAGCACGGTGAACTCGTTCCATCTGTGCAAAAAAAATTAAAATTCGAGTTAAAACGAAAAAGATATGAGTCAATTAAGAAAGCTAGTGAAAATAAAAATAGCCTTTAATTCTCCATCCTTAGATCTGGATTTTCTAAATGAAGGGTCCAGATTTGGTTATTGATGGGTGCATAACCCATGGTTATGCACCCTATCTTGAGCCCTGAAATTAGGGATGGCAATGGGTCGGGTTGGGTCGGGTTTTGCCAAACCCAAACCCAAACCCATGGGTTTATCTTTGAAAAAAACCCGGGGTAAAACCCATTGGGTTTGAAAAACTCAAACCCAACCCAACCCGTTGGGTATCCGCGGGTTCATGGGTACCCACGGGTTTTGTCGTAAAAAATTTACAATTACAAGTTCTTATCAAAATTAAAGTCAAATATCAATCTCTCAATACAAATTATCCATATATAAAACACTATTCTAGAAAATTTAAGCAAATAACAAATTAACTATACAAATTGTTCAACGCCAATCTAGAAAACTCAAGAAAATTGAAACAAATCACAAATTATCCATAAATAACATGTTTAATTGAAAGCTTTTTCCTTTCAATAAAGTTTCTTTACTCTCCACTCCATAACATCAACTTCATTCTACACAATTAAAAAGAAAAAATTAGACATGTCTCCACAAACATAAATAAGATTAGTTGTTTAGAATATTAAATATACCGAAAAAATTAATTATATGAGTGGGCGGGTACCCACGGGCCGGGTTTACCTAAACCCAAACCCAACCCAACCCGGTGAATAGTGAACGGGTTTAAACCCAAACCCGGCCCAAAACCCGTCAACACGGATTTTACCCGCGTTGACCGGGTTGGGTTGGGTGGGTACCCGTGGGTTCGGGTTTTGTTGCCATCCCTACCTGAAATAGCTCAGACAAAATTTTGGAATGTCATAAGATTATAAGAACATCAATTTGACTGACAGAACTAGGTAAAAAATAAAAAATGAGAATATCAAATTTTTAAGTGCTTCATGCTGGACAGAACCATGTAGTTGTAATCATAAAGATGGTTGTCACCTAAACCACTGGATTCAATCAATTCTCCACGAACCAAACCCGCCTCATCACTGTCATCAGCTTCTTCTGTTTCTTGGCCAACTTCATTTTGCTATATGTCACTACAAAATTGAGCACACTTCAACCTATAGGTGACAAATGAATTGGATTCATAGATCTAATGGATTGGTGAATTTATGGACTGGATCAAATTGATTAGTGGATTGATACATGGATTCAAATGAGATCCAAATTTTGGACCATTATGTAAATTATGAAAAGTTTAGGTACTAATTAGATTTGGATCAAATAGATTGAATTAGGTGGATAATTTGGTAGACGGATTAGATTGGATTGGATTCATGGATATGGATCATAATTGTCACCTCTACTTCGAGTCGTATTTGTTTTACGCAAGACAGTGATGCACAATCTAAAATTAACTTTCTCCTAACAACACGAGTTATTGGTGTTATTATTTTATAATTATATAGTATTAGAGCTTGTCTACTCAAGTGGTTGTGTGTTAAAATCGCAAACTTCAAATTGTAGAGTTGACTTTTGTTTGAAGGGACATATAAGAGAGTTGAAAGGGTCTATATGAAGCAGAATAAGTTTGAATGTGGAGTAAGAGAGTTTTTGAAAAATTAAATAGATATTAATGAAAATTGTCGAAGAGTGGTCTTTTAAACATAAAAAATGGGTTTAATACAACTACAGCACTCGAACTATCAACCAAATGTCATTTGTGTCCTATTTTATTTAATATTTATTTTATTAAAAATTATTTGTTAATGATTTGGCATCTGCGTGGATACCACGTTTTGTCACGTCACCAAAGTTAAAATTATTTTGACCATTATCTGGAAAATCGTTATTTTTACCTGTCAAC